CCCCCACAGTGAAGGAAATCTAAGAGTCAGCTCTCTTCCTCGCACAAACACGCAGACCCCCGAGGCCCAGAGAGGGTGTGGCCACACCGGGCGCCACACAGCAGCAGGCAAATGCAAGATTCCAGGCCTCCTCCCTCCCGCCTGCCAGTTTTAAAGTGGGAAAATGCGAGCCCCGAAGGAGGTGTGAGCCAGCGACTGCGTTTATTCCCCGAGTGGAGGCCCCGCGGTGGGGCCAGGGGTCCGCCCGCCCCTTCTGTGGCTCCACCGGCCTGTCGTCCGCGGCCCCTTCAGATGCGGATGTGGAAGGTGCTGTGTGCAAAGAGAAGAGCGATCAGTGCCACCGCGGTCCCCGAGGCAGGCAGGAAGCCGCGTGGGGAGGTGGGCCCCCCCACCCCGCATGCACGCAGCCCTGGGCCGCGGGGTCTCAGAGCTTCCGCCCCAGCCCCACCTGGGACCTGCTGGGGGGCGCTGGGCTGGCAGCCGCCCCTCCCTGAGCCTCAGTCTCCTCCTCCGTGAAATGGGGATGACAGCTGTCCCTCCCCCCACCCCCAGGCCTGTGACGGGGGCCAAGGGGGCAGATGCTCGTGGAGGGACCCACGGGAGGGGCTCGGTCAGGGGTGGGGAACCCATCCTGTTTCCATTATCCGTGGCCCTGTCTTGCCTGTCCGGGTAGAAGAGCCCCTCTGTGCACGAAACGACACCGCTGATAATAATAGCGACAGCAGGGGAAGGGAGGGATGGGGAGAGATTTTTTTTGTTTGAGACACGCTCTCGCTCTGTCCCCCAGGCTGGAGGGCAGTGGCGTGATCAGTCAGAGCTCACTGCAGCCTCCAACTCCTGGGCTCAAGCCATCCTCCTGCCTCAGCCTCCCGAGTAGCTGGGATGGCAGGCGTGTACCACCACTCCCAGCTAATTAAAAAAAAATTTTTTTTTTGTAGAGACAGGGTCTCACTATGTTGTCCAGGCTGGTCTCAAACACCTGGCTTCAAGTGATCCTCCTGCCTTGGCCTCCCAAAGAGCTGGGGTGACAGGTGTGAGGTCCCCAAGCCCCACCAGGAAGAGATTTGTTAAAGGACTCGAAATTCCAGCCAGACAGGAGGAATAAGCTCACGCGTCCGACACCACTGCCAGATGAATGTGGTTGACAGTAATATACAGTGATAGTTTCCAATCGCTAGAAAGAGGACATTGCGTGTTCCCGACACAGAAACGTGATGAACGTTTGAGATGGGGATGTGAGAATGACTCTGCTCTGTTACCATACGTGACATGTGTCAATACGTCACTATGTGCCCCGTGGATGTGTACAATCATTATTTGTCAATTAAAAAAATAAGGCCGGGCGAGGCGGCTCACGCCTGTCATCCCAGCACTCTGGGAGGCCGAGGCGGGAGGATCACTCAAGGTCCGGAGTTCGAAACCAGCCTGAGCGAGAGCGAGGCCCCGTCTCTACTAAAAATAGAAAAAAATTAATTGGCCAACTAAAAATATACAGAAAAAATCAGCCGGGCATGGTGGCGCATGCCTGTGGTCCCAGCTACTAGGGAGGCTGAGGCAGGAGGATCGCTTGAGCCCAGGAGTGTGAGGTTGCTGTGAGCGAGGCTGACGCCACGGCACTCACTCTAGCCTGGGCCACAGAGCGAGACTCTGCCTCAATAAATAAATAAATAAATAAAAAGAAAACGTTAACAGAAGTAACAGCAGCAATAACGACAGCGCATGCTTATTAAACACCTACTGCGAGCCAGATGCTGCCTTCAATTTCCTCCATAGATTAACTCAGAGGTGGACAAACTCTTTTTCCATAAAGGGCCAACTAGTTGACATTTTTTCAACCCTGCCCCGAGACTCAACCCGGCCGTCTCGGCACGAAAGCGGCCATAGACAATTCCGGGCACAGATGGGTGTGGCCGCGTGCCAGTGACACTTATTTATAGGCACGGAAATTTAAATTTCGCTTTGTTTTCATGTGTCACGGGATATTATCACTTTTTGATTTTTTTTTCCAGCCCTCCCCCCCACTTGAAAACGTAAACGCCGCTCTTAGCTCACAAGAGGTGAGAAACCAGGCTGCGGGGCTCAGGCGCGGCCCACTGGCTGAGCTCTGCCAGCCCCGTATTGACTCATCTGAACTTCCATCTCGGCCCTGCAGTGGGGGGCTCTGAGTTTCTTTCCCCAGGGCTGCCGAGGACAAAAAAGTCTGCTGACTGCAAAAAATAAAAAAAAAAAAAAATCGTTCGGGCCGGGCGCGGCGGCTCACGCCTGTAATCCCGGCACTCTGGGAGGCCGAGGCGGGAGGATCGCTCGAGGCCAGGAGTTCAAAACCAGCCTGAGCAAGAGCGAGACCCCGTCTCTACTATAAATAGAAAGAAATTAATTGGACAACTAATATGTATATAGAAAAAATTAGCCGGGCATGGTGGCGCATGCCTGTAGTCCCAGCTACTTGGGAGGCTGAGGCAGGAGGATCGCTTGAGCCCAGGAGATTGAGGTTGCTGTGAGCGAGGCTGACGCCACGGCACTCCCTCTAGCCTGGGCAACAGAGTGAGGCTCTGTCTCAAGAAAAAGAAAAAAATCGTTCGGGCGATGAGGGTTGAATTCGCGCTGGGGGCTGTGCCCGCCGGGAGAGCGGCAGCCAGACCCCTAATTAGGGACCCCGAATTTCCCCCACTTTACAGACGCGGAGCCTGGAACCGGGGACCCCGAGAGCGTCCCCCAGGGTCTCAGATGACGGTCTCCGCGGTTAAGGAGCCCCTCCCGGGCGTGGGGACGGGCCGTGCGGGGCGGCGGGGGATGTCACCTGAGGAAGTCAGGCGCCCGCAAGATCATGTTCTGGAAGTCTTCCAAGGACAGGCGCCCGTCCTGGTCACTGTCGGCCTCGTCCAGCACCTTGTCGCACACCAGGGCCACCTCCTCTGCGCTGAGCTCCCCGCGGGTCAGCCTGGTCACCGTCTGCCCCAGGTCCCAGGCGCAGATGTAGTCGTCCTCGTTGAAGTCTGCAGAGCGGGCGGGGACGGCAGGTGGCAGGCAGGCCGGGCCGGCTGTGGGCGTGTCTTGTCCCCCATGGCCCGGAGGGGGAAACCGAGGCACTGGGAGGGCACCCAGGGCCTTGTGATAAAAATCAGGATCTTGCCCTGGAGTTGGGCAGGGACCTGCTGGGAGTTCCCTCATTCATTCACACAACAGAGTATTTATTGAGCACCTACTGTGTGTTTGCGGGGGCCCCCGTGATAACTGATTTTCATTCATTCATTCTCTCGCTCCGCAAGTAATTTATCGCATGCCTACTAGATGCCAGACACCGGATAATTATTCTTCGTTTTTTCACTCAAAAGGTATTTTGTTGAGTGCCTACTGTGTGCTGAGCACTGTGATGACGTTTTTCGTTTGCTCATTCATTCAACAAGTATTTGCGAAGCACCTACTAGGCGTCAGGCACCATGACAGCTGATTGTAACTCATCCATTCACTCACTCAACAAGTATTTCTTGAGCGCCTACTAAGTGCCAGACACTGTGATGACTGTTTTCATTTACTCACTCAGAAAAGAGTTATTGAGTGCCTACTGCATGCCAAGCCCTGTGATCACATTTTCATTCATTCATTTATTCAACAAGTATTTATGGCCGCCTACTATGTGTCAGACGCCCTGATAACTGATTTTCCTTCAGTCACTCCCTGAACAGGTATTTCTCGAGTGCCTACTGGGCACCAGGCACTGAGATAACTGCTTTCCTTTCACGTATTCACTCAACAAATATTCGCCGCGCACCTACTGGGTGCCAGGCACAGGAGACAGATGGTGAACAAAACAGATGTGCCGCTACCTGTGGGCCTCCGCAGAGGGAAAGACAATGAGAGGCGAACAGGGCAATGAATAAGAAATTAAGCGGCATTGGCCTCTCCCAGGAGAGAAATAGGACGGTGGGGTGGGGAGCGACAGGGAGCAGGTCCTACTTTCGGCCTTGGCTTTCCAGGATAAGAAGGTGCTCCGGGGCAGAGCATACGGCACAGGCCAAGGCCAGAGGCAGAGAGAGTTTGGTGTGTTCAGGGAACAGCAAGGCCAGGGTGGCTGGAACAGAGTGAGCTAGGGGACAAGGAGGGGAGGCAGCAGGTGTGGGGTGGAGGACAGGGTTACTCGGGCCTCCCGCCCTTGGGCAGACATTTGTGGCGGGGGCTCCACCTGCTTCTCACGCCCCACTCCACCCCAGGGCTGTGCACACACCATAAATTTTGAAAGCGTAATAGGCCTTGAGGTCACGGGGAGCCATCTCGCTCATGACAGAAAACATGTCTAGGAAGTTGTCCAGAGTCATGTGGCCATCTCCGTCCTCCGAGAAGACCTGGGCGATCCTCTGGCGGAAGGGGTTGTCCTGGGAACAGAGAAGAAACGGGGGGGGGCACGTGGCCTCACTCTCGGCACCCACCACCTTGCTGGGGAAGGTCCAAGTACCCTCGAGCAAGACTCTCTCCCTCCCGTGGACCCTGCGCAGGACTCTGGGCGGCTCCCCCCTCCGAGTCCTGTGGTCTGAGCGATGCCGACCTCACTCCCAGCTCCGGGAGCAGCCACGTGACCCGGGCGAAGCCAATCAGAGATTTCCGTTCGCCCGACAAGTGTGATTGGCTCTGGGGTGGGCATGTGACTCAGACCGGCCAATCGGAGGCTGCCCTGGGATGCTTTCTGAAAAACTGGGAGGGAGGCACCTGCTCTGTGCTGGTTGCAGGGCTGACAGAAGCTAAAGCTGGGCGGCTAAAGGTTCCTTCTCAGCCTCCAGAGGAGAGGCTGCCTGACGCTGAAGCCTCTTCCTCGGAGGGGCTGAGAGGTGAAGGGAGATTCCCGAGCAGGTCATCATCGAAGGTCCTCGTCCCAGCTGCCCCTGACGCTAGCTCCTGCACCTGCACTTTTTGCTCAGCTGATCCGATCCCTTCCGTCCCTCTTATTTTTATTTTATTTTATTTTATTTTATTTTATTTTATTTTATTTTATTTTTGAGACAGAGTCTCACTTTTGTTGCCCAGGCTAGAGTGAGTGCTGTGGCGTCAGCCTAGCTCACAGCAACCTCAAACTCCTGGGCTCAAGCGATCCTCCTGCTTCAGCCTCCCAAGTAGCTGGGACTACAGGCATGCGCCACCGTGCCCGGCTAGTTTTTTGTATATATATTTTTAGTTGGTCAATTAATTTCTTTCTATTTTTAGTAGAGACAGGGTCTCGCTCAGGATGGTTTCGAACTCCCAACCTTGAGCAATCCGCCCGCCTCGGCCTCCCAGAGTGCTAGGATTACAGGCGTGAGCCGCCGCGCCCGGCCCTTCCGTCCCTCTTAAATAAGGTTTCTGTCATTTGCGATGAAATAATCCCTCCCCACAGTCAGTCACTCGCCCCCCAAGTTCCCTTCAGAGGCACAAACCACGCATCAGACAGCTGGCTGAGAAGAATCTGCATTTAGCAGCTTCTATTATGAAAAAAAAAAAAAAACAAAGCTAATGTGGCCTGAGTTGGCGTGGTGCACACCCCGTCCTGAGCCTGTCGCCTGTGTCATCTCATTTCAGCCTCCCAACAACTCTTGAGTTTTAGTCCTGCCTCTGTCACACTGTACCTGTGTGACCACGAACAAGTCTCTTAACCTCTCTGAGCCTCGGTTTTCTTACCTGTAAAGTGGGGAAAACTGAAGCGCCCACCTCATAAGAATGCAACGAGGGGACATATCTACTATTTCCCCCCCCCCCCCGGCTGCCCCGCTCCCCGGGCATACCTTCAGCTCGGGCATGCTGCCGATGAGCTCGTAGGGCACCCTCACGTCGGGGCGGCTGGTGTAATCCAGTGGGACGAGCTGGGGGGCCAGGTCCTGGTAGCGGTAGAAGACCCTGATGTGGGGGAGGGGAAGGATGGGGAAGCCTGGGAGCAGGGAGGGGACAAGAGACTTGTCCCCTCCTCTCTCACATCTGCAGCTGCTCAATCCACACCGAAGGGTGCTGGACCCCCAAGGGCCATCAGCCCCGGGCCAGACGCAGGCACCTCTGCCCACCTGGGGACGGGGCCAGGGTCGATAGAGGGCCCCGAGGCTAGCAGGGACTAACCGGGGAAAGCAAGCTCTAGGGAGGAAGACGAGCTTCCTGGAGGAGGGGGCAATGATGCTGGGCTTTGAAGGATGTGTAGGAGCCTACCAGGCAGATGGAGTTGGGAGAAGGGAGGGTGCTTGTGGTCACATCATGTCACAGCGAGCATTCAGAGAGTCCTGGATAACCCACCCATATCTGGACATCACTCCGTTCTCAAACCTTCCTTTCCTCCTTTTATAATGGAAGGCGGGGTTCTCCAGTGGGGACAGAGAAGAGACAAGCGGCTACTATTCAGGGCTTTTCGGAAGGACAAATGAAAACCATCGTGTAAAGCACTGAAATCCACACACAGTACCTAGGTGACAGGGCCAGTTGTCTGCTCAGATGCCCTCACCTGGTGACGCCGTGCCTCCACTGGGGCACGCTGAGCAGCAGCCCCGTGGGGACCGTTGCTGCTGAGGTCTCCAAGCCACTAAGGACTGTCTCTGAGGGAGACAGGAGCCCCCGGGCCATATGGTGACCAGGGACCGGACGGTTTTGGGGGGTGGATCTAGAACTTCAGTCCTGACCACCCAGTTCCCTATCCGGGTCCCCTCGGCGAGCAGCGTGGGGCTAGGTCTCCGTGCCGGCCTTGAGCGAGTGCCTCTCCCACCCCGGGCCTCGGTTATTCTATCCAACGAGCGAGGAGCCTGGGGCAGGCGAAATGTCAGCCTTCAAACTCCTCCAGGCTCTGCGCACCTGCCCGCCCGGGCTTGGGGTCAGCCTCAGTTTCCCCATCAGTAACCCGATCGTGATGGCCGAAGTGACCCCACACGCTGTCGGCACGCAGACAATGGGGCTCACTGGCGAAAGGCATGCCCATCAATAATGGATGCCCCGTGCCCACACGGGGTGGGGGGGCCCTGGCCCCGGTCACTCCGCGCCGGAACCCCGGCCAGCTTGGGTTTCCCAGCTCCACGTTCACGGGGTGGGGCCCCTGGACAATGGCCCCGCGGGCCAGGGGGTGGCGTGGGAGCCTTGTCTGTGCCCATCCTGCCGGGCTCATGCCGGGGACCTGCCCCACACCCTCGCCCGGGTGTCAGCCCCACAGCCCCGAGCTGGCGCTGAACTCCACACTTGGACTCCCGGCCTCCAGTCCCAGCCTCTGCACACGGGCCTCGGTGGGATCTTTCCAACGTGCTGGCTGGTCTCTCCCCTGCTCACACACCCTCCATGGCTCCCTGCCACCCTTGGAGAAAAGCCAAGCTCATCAGCCTAGAGACGGTGACAGGAGCATGTCCCCCCACACCCCCCTGCCCGCCCGCCCAACCAGCCCTTTAGCATTTTTAAGTCCCATCAAGTTGCAAATATCTCCCAGCGATGACTAGAAAGCTGTTTCCAGGCCTCCTCCCCGCGCTGACCTCATGATCTCCTTCCTCGTGAAGAACGTGCAGTCCTGCGGGGAGAGACGGTGGCTTCACCGGGACCCGCCTCTGGGGCCGCCGCCCCAGCCCTCCCGCCACCCCAGGCCGGCACAGACGTCCCCCTGCGCCGCGCACACCGCCACGCCGGACCCGGGAAACGGATGCCCGTTCCCGCCTCTCCGACCACCGGGAACCAAAGCTGTCAAAGCTGTCAAACCCGCCCAGGGCCCCCCCGCGCCCCCACCTGATACGCTTCCAGCTGCTCGTGAGTGAAGACCGTCTGCTTGCTGCCCATGGTGGGGACCCGCCCGGACGCGGGGTGGATCCCCGAAGTCCCCGTCTCCCTGGGGTGGCGCGTGAGGGGCTTGCCAGGCTGCTGCCAGCCGGCGTCTGGCCAAACCTCCCTGCCCCGGCCCGTCCCCGTGCCCCCCGCCTGCCACTCCCAGCCTGAGTGAGACTCAAGTTACAGCCGCGCTCTGGGAAGCCGCCCGGCTGTGTCTGCAGGTGGGGAGGTCACCTCAGGGGGGGGGGGCACATCCGCCACCACCAGGTGAGGCCGGGGCCACCGGCACCTTCAGGAGACAGGCAGGGTGTCAGGTAGGCTGTGGGCACCCCCAGCTCCTATTCCGGCTCCCCGCCCACTTAGCTGTGTGGCCTTGGGCAAGCTGCTTGCCCTCTCTGAGCCTCATTCGTGAGGAGATTGCATGACTGCTTGCTTGCCTCCTAGCGTCTTTCCGAGGACCTAATGAGATTAAAAAAAAAAAGTATTTGACCATTGGCTATAAGCCAATTCTAGGCGCTAGGAGCATAACGGTGACCCAGCTAGAGAGGCTCTGGGGTGTCCATTGGAGCTTTGTTTTTTATCATTATTATTATAAGTGTTATGACTTGAGAAAAGTGATCCAAGGTCTAAGTTTGAGAAGCTGGCTAAATAAAACCAGATCGAGTTCGTTATTGCAGGAATTGTCAGAGCCTTTAATGTTCTATTTTTTTTTTCTTAAGAGACAGGGTTTCCCTCTGTCACTCAGGCTGGATGGAGTGCAGTGGCACATTCACGACTCACTGCAGCCTCCACCTCCTGAGCTCCAGTGATCCTCCCGCCTCGGCCTCCTGAGTAGTTAGGGCTACAGGTGCATGCCACTGTGCCCAGCAGCTAATTTCTTTTTTTTTTTTTTTTGCTAGAGACAGGGTCTCACTGTGTTGCCCAGGCTGGTCTCGAACTCCCGGCCTAAAGCAATCCTCCCCCCCTCAGCCTCCCAAAGTGCTGGGATGACAGGTGCGGGCCGCGGCGCCCGGCCAGAGCCTCGGCTGTTCCAGGGCGCACTGCGCGTCGTCGAGGCAGGGAGACCAGGTAGCTGCTCCCAACCTTGCCAAGACCCAGGGTCCTCGCGGGCAGACCATCCGGGGGGTGTAAAGTCCTTGGCCTGGGCCGGGCGCTGTGGCTCACGCCTGTAATCCTAGCTCTTGGGAGGCCGAGGCGGGCGGATTGCTCAAGGTCAGGAGTTCAAAACCAGCCTGAGCAAGAGCGAGACCCCGTCTCTACTATAAATAGAAAGAAATCAATTGGCCAACTGATATATATATATAAAAAATTAGCCGGGCATGGTGGTGCATGCCTGTAGTCCCAGCTACTTGGGAGGCTGAGGCAGAAGGATCGCTCGAGCCCAGGAGTTTGAGGTTGCTGTGAGCTAGGCTGACGCCACGGCACTCACTCTAGCCTGGGCAACAAAGTGAGACTCTGTCTCAAAAAAAAAAAAAAAAAAAAAAAAAAAAAAGTCCTTGGCCTGGCCGGGCCTCCACGCCCTTCCCACTCTGGGTGTCACCTGCCTTTCCATGTTCCCCTCCTGCTCGGCCTTCTGCAGCCCCGCCCCCCAAAGCCCCTGAACAGCGCGGCCTTGGGGCTCCCCCTCCCCCGTCCCCACCCTCCAAGACTGGACCCTGGCAGCTCCTCCCGGAAGACCCCGCTGCCTCGGCCTCGCGGCGGGGGGCGGAGGCAGCCATCGGGTTGGAGCCCGCTCTGCAGTCCCTGCTGCAACAAAGCGGGGCACCCCCCGCGCCTCAGTTCAGCCCCTGCTCCCCCCCCACTCGGTTTCCACCAGGGGTTGACGTCTTCCCTCCGGGCTGGCGCTGGGGTCAGGCCTCGGGCACACCTGGTCCCCTGCACGCTCGGGTTACCCGATCTGCACCCCGGGGGTCCGTTGCAATGGAAAACAACTCCCCGCTTCACCGTGTTCTGTGACAGGCCAAGTCGAACCCCGGCAGAACCAGACTGAACCGGTTCTGTGCTGCAGCCGTCCTCTGCCCGATCTAGGCAGTCCCCTCCTGAAACGCGACCCCTTCGGCCTTTGAAAAGACTCCCCTCCGAGGATGAGGTGTTTCTTTTTTTGAGACAGAGTCTCGCTCTGTCGCCCAGGCTAGAGTGAGCGCCCTGGCGTCAGCCTCGCTCACAGCAACCTCACACTCCTGGGCTCAAGCGATCCTCCTGCCTCAGCCTCCCGAGTAGCTGGGACTACAGGCATGCGCCACCACGCCCGGCTCATTTTTTTTCTATATATATTAGTTGGCCAATTAATCTCTTTCTATGTATAGTAGAGACAGGGTCTCGCTCTTGCTCAGGCTGGCTTTGAACTCCTGACCTCGAGCCATCCTCCCGCCTCGGCCTCCCGGAGTGCTAGGGTTACTGGCGTGAGCCACCGCGCCCGGCCTAAACACACTTTTTAAAGGAAGTTGAGGGTCTGGATTCTAAGCACTAACTATGATTAGTTCACTGCTCAGGCCTGCCGGCCACCACAGGCTGTTTCTCTGACACTCCAGCTCCAACACTGGGTTTGTGGTTATTTTGCATTCCCTCGAAATCGTTCTCCATGGCATAAGTAGATTGATTTTATCTTGGTACAGATCAACTCCACCTCTGCTATCATAAACAGTATGCAACGATACCCCTTGTTGTGTAGGCTAGAGCACATAGAATCGTTATCACGACGATACTACACTCCCCATTAACCACTGGGGAAATGCAAATCAAAGCCACAATGGGATGTCACCTCGTACCTGTCAGGACAGCTATTTAAAAACAGCAGAGGCTGGTGCAGTGGCTCACGCCTGTGATCCCAGCACTCTGGGAGGCCGAGGCGGGCGGATTGCTCAACGTCAGGAGTTCGAAACCAGCCTGAGCAAGAGCAAGACCCCCGTCTCTACTATAAATAGAAAGAAATTAATTGGCCGACTGATATATACAGAAAAAATTAGCCGGGCATGGTGGCGCACGCCTGTAGTCCCAGCTACTCGGGAGGCTGAGGCAGGAGGATCGCTTGAGCCCAGGAGTCTGAGGTTGCTGTGAGCGAGGCTGACGCCACGGCACCTCACTCTAGCCTGGGCGACAGAGCGAGACTCTGTCTCAAAAAAATAAAAAAATAAAAACAGGAGAAATTGCCCTGTTGGTGGGAATGCAAAATGGTGTGGGGGGAGGGGGGTGGGAGGACGAAAAATCCCTGGCTACTTCAAAGGTCTGTGCCTCTCCAACACTCAACCCTCCCTGACAAAATCTCATGCATCAGCATCTGACTTTCTCTCCATTTAATGAAATGTTCCCTCTAGGGACTGATCACGGCAAAAAAAAAAAAAAAAAAAGGGTT